CTTCCGGTAGCTCGCTAGCTATCCACCCCGCTTCCTCTCCAGGTAGTCTACAGAGCACTTTGTCAACCAACCTACGCTTGTTGGCTTCAGGCTAAGAAGCTTCATTTGCTGCATGAACATCCAAGCGTTAACTGGTGTTCTAAGCAACAGGCGAAGCATGGAGGCCAGATGCACCCAATCAATGGGGGAACGTCAGAGTTAAGGATTTATACTCTGCCTCCGCTCCACCTCATACGGCGGTTGCAGTTTTTTTCTCCAACTTGCAGCGACGATCCCAGTTTTATTGCGTCGTGGACTTTGATTAAACTCCGAAACGTACCGGTCGGGTAGGCAGCGAACTGTATGCAGGTAGTTGGCCTCTCGCGCAACACGTAGCAAAGTGTTGTGCTGGTTATTCAAACAAATTGTTAAGTCGACGCCAAAAGAGTTAAATTAGTACTCGAAGGCAGCTAGCTCATATTTAAAGCGAATACGGGACCATCCAACATCAGGGCAAAGAAGACAACACTGGAAACGCATGGTACGCGAACAGCTTTCTGATTTGAGCTTTACAAGAACAACTCCCTTGTTAGTGATATGCTGTTTGTGTCACATTAAGGTTCGTCCTCTGCTTCTGCAGCGGACAAAAGCAGAGGAAGAGAAGACAGGCGATTGACGAGAGCCACAGATAACGCTAAGAATTGAGAAGGCAAACAAATATTGCAGCAAAAGCTTTGGGAGAGGAAGCAAAGGGATACCGCTTTGCCTGTACGTGCCTCAACCTGGTTAGTAACCCACCTCGTTGCAACACGTGCTGCAAGACAACCCAGACCAGAACTAAGCGAACTAAGCCCCCTGTACTGTACGCACCAACATTGGCGACGACGGTTAGACAGTTGTTTTGCCTTTAGTAGACAGACTGCACGCAACTAGAGATAAACCTACCACGTAGGCAAAGCCCTTACAATAATAGTAAGTGATCTATGTATGTGTCTCAACCTGGTTAGTAACCCACCTCGTTGCAACACGTGCTGCAAGACAACCCCACATGCAGGCAGAACTAAGCCCCATGTGCTGTACGCACCAACATTGGCGACAACGGTTAGGCAGTTATTTTGCCCTCAGTAGACAGACTGCACGCAACTAGACATAAACATACGAAGTGCGCAAAGCCCTTATAATAATAGTAAGTGATCTGCCTTCTAACGCGGTGTCAGGATACAAACGATGGTGAAGAAAATACGCAACTAGTACTTCAATTGTAGCATAAGGAACCTTTAACGAGAGCAAATAACTAGGACTCGAAGGCTCTGCAGGCTCAACTCTTTTCCTGAATAGAATGTCCTTCCTACAAAAAGCCTTTTACCATAGACAGTGTAACAATGTAGCGTTGCCAACATTGAAACACTACCATAAATATCACATACAATTTAATTTATTGTGTATCATACCATACGTAGCACATATCGTACCATTTACTCAGTATACAACATGTCAGACATACCACAAATCAGACAAGTCGCCTGAACCCTGCATAGCGCACCGTGCTGAAAGCATCATTTTTACATGTAAGTTCAGAGGGGGAGGCACCTCACCCGTATGCGAGTACCCTGCATAGCATCCCATGTTGAAGGCATCATTATTGAGGTAAGTCATGAACGTAGTTGCATGTAGTTACTACTATGAGAAGAAATATGAACCTACTTATGCGCAAAGTGTTGTGCAGGTAGATCCAGGAAAACCCTGAGACTATATATTCATATACTCATAGAGTCAACAGTGAAGGAGCGAAACGACAAACAGACTCTTACCAAATAGAGGCGAAAGTAGAATTTTGCTGGGAGCAGAATGAAAACTCTTTAACACAAAAATGTTAAGTGAAATCCAACATGACAAAACCCAAACAAACAGAAAGAGC